GGAATGGGGATTTTGCAGTATCTTTCCCCTGGAGTGGGAAGGGAATGGGGATTTTACAGTATCCTTCCCCTGGAGTGGGAAGGGAATGGGGATTTTGCAGTATCTTTCCCCCGGAGTGGGGAAGGAATGGGGATTTTGCAGTATCCTTCCCCTGGAGTGGGAAGGGAATGGAGATTTTGCAGTATCCTTCCCCCGGAGTAGGATGGGAATGGAGATTTTGCAGTATCCTTCCCCTGGAGTGGGAAGGGAATGGGGATTTTGCAGTATCCTTCCCCCGGAGTAGGATGGGAATGGAGATTTTGCAGTATCCTTCCCCTGGAGTGGGAAGGGAATGGGGATTTTGCAGTATCCGTCCCCCGGAGTAGGATGGGAATGGAGATTTTGCAGTATCCTTCCCCTGGAGTGGGAAGGGAATGGGGATTTTGCAGTATCCTTCCCCCGGAGTAGGATGGGAATGGAGATTTTGCAGTATCCTTCCCCTGGAGTGGGAAGGGAATGGAGATTTTACAGTATCCTTCCCCTGGAGTGGGAAGGGAATGGGGATTTTGCAGTATCCTTCCCCTGCCACACCCACCAAGCCACACCCACAGAACCAGTAGTAAAAAAAATTGAATCTCACCACTGCCTTTGACCCTTCCAAAGGGTGTCTCTTTTTTTACACGTAATTTTCTTTGGCTCCCTTACCTTGGTAAGATCAGACCTTCCCTGGTTATTATTTGTTGTGGGGGGGATAGCAAACAAAGCAAAAGAAACCATTTGTTGGGGAGGGGGAGGTTAACATTCAGTGGAGACATCCATCTCCAGCCCGAAAAACAATTGATCTAATCTCTCTTGAGATATTGCTATGGTTTTGACCCGATTTATGTCCAAGTGGCAAGGAAAAGTTCTTACAGCCCTGACACTTTTCTCGAAGTCATTCCGGGACTACCGGATGCTGCTGTTTGCTTTCCAACGGAGATCAATCATCTTTCTCAAACCAGGAGGGTGGGGGAAAAAAAGAAAGAAAGAAAGCCAGGGACATTTTTTAATTTACCTGCTGCGTTGCACGCTGACGATTTCCAAAACGAATTTCGGGCCCTTGAAACGAATGGCATTTAATCTGAAAGGTGTACGGGCTAGATGTGACCTTATTCAAATGCCGGCGCCATTACGGAGCCTGTTCCTGGTCTAATTAGAATTAAAGACTTTTATGCTTTCCTTGCAAATCCTTTTGATCAATCACTGATAGGAACATTAATATCGCGCTGCCCCTGAGCGCCGGGCTCTCTCACAAGGGTTTACGGATCAGCGGGTTTCCATTAAGGAAGATGCGAGGCACGGCGGTGCACCCGTCGCGGGCAAACGTTGGTAAGTGGCCTTGACGTCAGAACAAAAATGAAGAAGGAGAGAAGAAACTTCCAGATTTATTAATTTTCTTTCGGGACTCGGGAGCTCTCCTTTCTGCCTAGTTGCTATGCTTCGGCTCTAGCACCTAAAATCTTTGTGTGTGTGTGTGTGTGTGTGTTTGTGTGTGTGTGTGTGTATGTGTGTTTTATTCTTAAGAGACAACTGGGCTGCTGGGAGTTTGCAGGGGTTCGGGAAAACCTCTAGCTAAGATTCTGTGCAGTTCGGAAAAACCCCAAATCCCACTGCTGGCTGGCCTCGCCCACCCCATCCCACCTCTCCCAGGAGTCCCCACGTGGCCCTTTTTGGATGCAGGTAAGTGTAGGACCCATGTGCAAGCTCGGGGAGGGCAAAACAAGAGCCTATGAGAAGTTCGGGAAAGCCACAAACATGCCCATTTCTGGCCTCAAAGGCCTTCGGAGCCTGGGAAGGCCATTTTCGCCCTCCCGGAGTCTCGAGGAAAACCTCTGGAGCCCAGGGAGGGCAAAAATGCCCCCACCCCTGCTATGGTGCAAGAGGCTGACTAGGCCATGCCTGGATTGGGTGAACCAGTAGTGATGGCGGCGGGAGGCTCTGCCCATCTGCCCAGACACTTCTCCACATGCGCAGAAGCTTCTACGCATGTGCAGAAGTCTTGCACATGAGCGAACCAGTAATTAAATAAATTGAAAACCACCACTGTCAGACTCCCACAAGGATACTCGGGAGGGAGGGAGGGAGAGAAGGAGGAAGGAAGAAAGGAAGGAAAGTTTTTGCTGTTCCCTGTCAGACTCCCACAAAGAAACTCAATGGGGAAGCCTACAGGAAGTCGAAAGTCACTCCTGCTGCAACTGGTTTCTTTGCTACCTGTGGTTATTCTGTTTCTCTGCTTAGGCACGAAAATATCTCTGCACAGATGGGCCAATGGGGCATGGGTTGTCTCGTAATAAAATATACTGCCAAGTTCCATGCCATGTTCATATCACATGCAGGCTCTCCTTCCCTCCCTATTTATTCAGATAAACAGTCTCATCTTCCTTTTCAAATGAAGTGAAAAGAGGAGTTGCAGTTTCAACCAGATTTGATTTCCTGCGTACAGTGCCTAATTTCTCTCTAAGTAATAAATCCAAAATCGATTAAAATAACACAAGAAAATGGGATTTGGGGGGGGGGGGGAGTCAAGACGAATACTAGCGAAACAACCTTGTTTCGCTGCAGATGGAATGAAACGAAGGCAAAATATTTGCAAACTTACATATTTTTTACATCCCTCCAAAAGACGAAACGTGGTTGGTGTAAATTAGGGAAACAGAGCTTTGTTGTTTTAAGTAACTAGTTTTCCTTTGAACAGCATCTGCAGTGGACTGATAACCATAGCTTATAAATTAATGTTCTCGTATCTCTCTCTTTCTTCCTCCTTCCCTCCCTCCTTCTCTCTTTCCTGAACCCTTTTCCACTTTATGAAATTACTTTATTTATTAGCTTTAGGCTACATCCGGAAAATAAAACCCAAACTTTAAAAAAAATTAACAATAAAATAAAACAAAATTAACTGGGAACTCACTCGGCGAAAACTTGGGTTGTAAGAGATTAATAATAAACAAGGGGAGGTCATTTTACCAGGCCATTAATTCTGTGCGTCTGATTATACCTACGCATCCCCAAAGTGTGCCCATTTGTACATCTCTCTAGCGAAAAAACAAATGCCATTTTAATTTGACCCATAGGCCCCCTTTTATTCTTAAGGAAATTAATAAAATCAAGATTGAGGTCTTTGATGCATCTCTCTTTTTAAAGAACAAGTCTCAGGTTCCTCGGTGTTGTTTCTCACGAAGCTGCATTTGCAAAACCTGATCAACATTTTCCATGCCATAGACAGAGACAGACAGACAGACAGACATAAGTCAGTAGTTAGGTAGGTAGGTAGTTGGGTGGGTGGATGGATGGATAGATAGATGGATAGACAGACAGGCAGACTGGAATAAGTAGGTAGGTAGATGGTAGATACGTAGGTAGGTAGGTGGGAGTGGGGGGATGGAGATAGATAGATAGATGGATGGATGGATGGATGGATGGATGGATATGAGAGGGAGGGAGGGAGGAAGATAGATAGATAGATAGATAGATAGATAGATAGATAGATAGATAGATAGAT